TTTTAATAACTTTTCCAGTACGCTTTACCATGCATTATGGGTGGTAATTTAAATTTATTATATTTGTTTTTGAAATAATATTTAATATATGTATTTATTCAATTTTATTGTTGTTTTCACAGATAATAAATATTGGTCATAAAGTTTTTTTAAAGTTTGCCTTTAATTTATGTACGTACATACACACTTTAAGTTGGAAAATTATCATAACCCGATAGATTTCAGCATATTTAACAAATGAAAATTTTTGAGGATATAGTCCTGTTAACTAATGAAGTAGTAACAATGCCACCTGAATAAGTTGTGACAATTGACACCATGGCGACATCGTACTATCAAATTGTAAGGATTCCTTCTTATAAAGTTTTGGAATTAATCTTACCCTGTGACCCAAAGACCCAACTACGGAACTAGTGTAACAGTTCCTTTTCTTAGTATTTCTAAAATCCAGATATTTTAATTTAAACTATGACTGGTCTAGTTTCGTTTTACTTAAGTAAATCCTTTTAAAATTTTCTTTCTCTAAGATTAAAATTCAATTTGTTTAGCTTTTTGGATATAACGACTTTATGCAATTTCTTTAAGAAAATTTGTATACCCTACACCACTATAGTAGGGAGGGTATTATGCGTTTGTGCTGATGTTTGTGACTCTCAAAAATATTGGTCCTACACCACCTTAAAGTATACCAATCGACTCAACTTTCTAAGTAGATTTTTTTCAAGATAATTTGATGAGTTTTGGCACATACTCTTCTCTTGACCCAGGGACGAAACCTATTGAAATGGTTAAAATCGGTCCATTATTTCGTATAGCCCCCATACAACCGTACTCTCCGAATAGGGCTTTTGAGCTCATAAATATGTTAAATGTTCTTGTATCACTTAAAAATCGGCAAAACTTAGTTTATATAAATCTTAATGATACTGCTGATTTTCGTAAAGATCGGCCTTCATTTGACCCTATCCCCCATACAAAGTCCCGTTCAGAAAATTACTTGATGGTCAAAATTCACTTATAAACACTAATATCATCATGATATTCTGCATAAATAACTAGTCCCTCTACCAAAATTTATAAAATATATGATTGTTTTATTAATAGGAGTTGAAAAGAATTAATTCTTTTATAAAATGAAATTATTATTCTTTTGTAGAATAAAGTTCTTAGATATTTGCTGTCAAGATTCAGTTTTATTGCACTTTGTATTTTTGACATCGAAGAATTCCTTAATACGAAATATTAACTACTTTTTTCATATTGCAAATTCTTTCTAAATAGTCCAACAACTAAACTATTTAATAGACTTATTAATATATTAGTCAAGAGACAAGCTACTAGTCCGTAGTATAATTAAGAAGCAAGTCAACAGACAGTAAAATTTTCAAATACTGCAAAAAATGGCATATTCAAAGTATAAGAATAATATTTTGAAAAAACAAGTTTTGATTTGACACTTTCTGGACTACATCATTTTAAATATCTGCTTATTTATTAATGAGTTTGCATAATATCTATCTTTTAAGTTTATTTACTTGGAGATATTCTTTGTGGTTTTAAAGATTGTGGTTGGAAATCTACAGCAGAACTTTTTAATTATGTTTGTTAAAATAATTTTTTTAAGAAGGTGGCCAGATAACAAGTTTACATTACGCAAATGAAATAATAGTAACGTTTATAATTAAAAACTGTGAAAATAAAACAATTGATTGATTACCATTTCTTTGAAATATGAAACAACAGCAAATAACAACATTTAAACTAATTTACTAACTATTATAAAAACTATATGACAGTTTTCTGATATGGCAATTTATTAGTTATTAAATTAACACAATAACCATAATTGGCCCTAATAAATTGTTTAGCTTTTTCATACTTTTTTATCAGTTTTTTTTTGCTTTAAATAATTTGCTTGGTAATAAGTAAAAAATAAATAAATAAAAGTGATATTTTATAGTACAATTTAATACATTATTAAGTCACTTGATCACTTAATTAAATGCTCTTTAACCAAAAAACCAAGAATATAATAAAATGTTTTATTGCCTTTAGATTAAATTATAATTTATAATTAGTAATTATTTCTATTGCACTTGAGCAGTTTAAACACATCGTATTTAAAATTAAGCATGTGCTGCAATAAAAAAATACAAATTATTTCCGCAAAGATGTAGGTGATAAATAAAATTCCGACGTTTGGTCTCAAATAGATTAGATGTCTGGTAATGCAAATCTTTACTATATTATTTAAAAAAAATTAATAAAATTAAGTTATGATTTCTGCATGTCATTTTATAAATACATTTCTTCACGGTGATAGTCAAAAATTTAACAAACAGGTGGCTTATCATCATATCACCATTGGGATCAGTAGACTAAATCAGTTTACAAAATCAATTGACTGATTCATAAATAATATTTTGTTTTCTAAAACGTTTATAAAATTAAATTTCCATACAAAATTTAATTTATAAACCGCTTATAAAATAATTTTTTTTTATGAATTAGACCTTTACTGCCTTATTCATAAACATTTACAATTTATCACAGGTTTATAAAACAAATTTTGTATGAAAATTTGTCTTATAAACCTTTGATAAATTGTCGTGAATAAGGCCCTGAGCATTAAAGCTGTAAATAAATGTAAATGTCCACAAAATATCAGTTTTTTATAAAAACTTTTAAGACGATCAGCTTTCAATAGAAATCTTTCAAGACAAAAATTTTAGACTATCAGTATTCCATAGAAAACTTTTAAAACGGTCAGTTTTCCATAGAAAACTTTTTAGACGATCAGTTCCATTTAGAAAACTTGTAGGACGATCAGTTTTTTATAGAAAACTTTTAGCACGATCAGTTTTTTATAGAAAACTTTTAGGATGATCAGTTTTCTATAGAAAACTTTTAAGACAATCAGTTTTCTATAGAAAACTTTTAGGACGATCAGTTTTCTATAGAAAACTTTTAGGACGATCAGTTTTCTATAGAAAACTTTTAGGACGATCAGTTTTCTATAGAAAACTTTTAGGACGATCAGTTTTCTATAGAAAACTTTTAGGACGATCAGTTTTCTATAGAAAACTTTTAGGACGATCAGTTTTCTATAGAAAACTTTTAGGACGATCAGTTTTCTATAGAAATATTTTAAGACGATAGTTTTCTATAGAAAACATTTTCTATAGAAACATTTTTAGACGATCAGTTTTATATAAAATTTAAGACAATCAGTATACAATGGAAAACTTTGAAGACGATCAGTTTTCTATAGAAAACTTTTAGGGCGATCAGTTTTCTTTACAAAACTTTGAAGACGGTCGGTTTCTATAGAATAATCTTAAAATGATCAGTTTTTTATACAAAACTTTTAGGACGTTCAGTCTACAATAGAAAACTTTGAAGACGATCAATTTTCTATAGAAAACTTTTAGGATGATCAGTTTTTTATAGAACATGTTAAGACTATCAATTTTCTATAGAAAACTTTTAGGATGATCAGTTTTCTATATAAAACTTTAAAAACAATAGTTTAACTTAAATCCAAATTGCTCCATTTCCAAGTATAAAGCTAAAAGCCTGATACATTCCCTTTTAATTTATTTAAATTTTAGACAATATCAAATTTGTTTTTTAATGTAATTAAACACAATTTCATAATTATTTAGAAAAACAATTCAAATAAAAAATGTATTAATAACAGGTGTTTTATTGTTTAAAATACATGCAATTGTTTTCAAATATTTTTTTTTTACTTTATAATTTCAAACAATTTCATTTCATTGGCAAATTTAATTTTATAAGGGCACGTGAATTTAATATTTATTTTACTTTTATGATACATATAGATGCATAGAGTACAATATTTTTCTAAATTTTTATTATTATTTAAATTTATCAGAAAATAAACTGGATTCCTTAAATATGTACATGTCGCATGTCATTGTATTATAATAGCAACAAAAAACCAACAGAATCATTTAATTTTAATGATAAGAAGTTCTATTTATTTGTTTTTTTTTTTTTGTTTTATATACTCTTCATAAAAAATGTCTTGCACACAGTTCAAATACTTGTAATTGTTTTAAAATAATTTTCTGATAGTATATCTTGTTTCATAAAACCATCATAATTTAATTAAGTTGTTAAACTTTTATTTATTAAGTCGTAGATCGTTTTTATTGCAATTGTTTTTCACATTTTACTGGAAAACAGCCTTTGACTAACTAACAACGAGCCAAATTAACTAATTTAATTGGCTAAAATGGGTTTATTTAATTTTACCTTCAAAAAGGTGTTTTACCTTTTTTCTACAATATTTAACTTTTTTGTTAATAATATTTTATAGCCACAAACATATAATCAAACTTATTAATAAATGCAATGAATTTTAATAAGCCTGTGGTAACTAGTCATTACTTGTAGTATTGTGATTTATTAAATGTTAAACAACATTTATAAAAAAATTTTTTAAAATTTTAGTTATTTTCTTATAAAAATTAATTTTTAAATTACTGGAAAGAATTTTAAATTGCAATGACTAATGGCATTAAACTAACATAAAAAATAAAGTAAAAGTTGAAGGCCATTTAGTTGAATTTATTTGTTACAAATACAATAATTTTTATGAAAAAATTTTATATTTTAGTAATAGAATTTAGTTCCTTAACTTTCCAAAAAGTACTTTCCATCCCAGTTAATGATCATAGATGCATTTCTAACAAACAAACGATTTGTTAACTTGATAATGAATATTTAATAATTTACGATAAATACTTGATAAATATTTAAAATATTGTTGACAAATTTATTAAATGTAAAAATAATAATAATATTAGTTAATACTCTACTTCATTCATGCAACAGTAGAAATACAAGGAAATTAATGCTAATTGATTGTTGACATGAAAATACTTAATGTGATTTTTTTTTTTTTTTATTTTATTGATTTTACTTTAATCTAACACTCTCTAATTTTTTATTCTCTGTGTCTCTCTTTATAGATTTTGTTATACCTCAACGTGTGATATTGGCTATAATGGGTTTCTTGGCCATTTTGAATGCTTATACAATGCGTATCAGTTTATCGATTGCCATCACTGAATTGGTAGTAAAGAAGAATCACACTGAAGGTGGGGATACTGCAGTTTGTCCCGCTGACAATTTGGATTCTGAGTCATCGGTAAGAAAGAATTTTCAAAAATTATTAAGCTATTTAATTAAGGCAAAGTGTTTAAATATTTTCTTCTTTTTCATGTTAATTTCAGAGCGGCGGTACCTTTGAATGGTCCGAAGAGTTACAGGGTTTAATTTTGTCATCCTTTTATATTGGTTACATTGTTACCCACATACCCGGCGGTTTATTGGCCGAAAAATTCGGTGGCAAATGGACTTTGGGTTTAGGCATCCTCTCCACTGCTTTCTTCACACTCATCACCCCAGTTGCCATTACTGAGGGAGGTTCCACCGCTTTGATTATTGTTCGTATCTTGATGGGTTTGGGCGAAGGTACCACATTCCCGGCCTTAAGTGTTTTACTTTCACAATGGGTTCCCATTAAGGAACGTGGCAAATTGGGCGCTCTTGTATTAGGTGGTGGTCAAGTCGGTACTATTTTGGGCAATTCGTTATCAGGTGTTTTACTCGATGCTTATGATTGGCCCGTGGTATTCTATCTTTTCGGTGGCTTGGGTGTTGTTTGGTTTATCTTTTTCGTAAGTTTTGTATTTATAAAGTAGATTGTAGATCATTTACTAAATTGAAACAAATTACTTTTATTTGTTTAGTGCTTCCTGTGCTTTAGTGATCCCGCTTCTCATCCCTACATCAAGCCCAGTGAACGTGAATATTTGGAACGTGAAATGGGTTCGATTGTACGCAATGAGAATTTACCACCCACACCTTGGAAAGCCATTTTAACTAGCATGCCTATGATTGCTTTAGTTTGTGCTCAAATTGGTCACGATTGGGGCTTCTATATTATGGTCACAGATTTACCCAAATACATGTCCGATGTCATGCAGTTCTCTATTAAGGCCAATGGTTTGTACTCCTCATTGCCCTATGTCATGATGTGGATATTTTCGATTTCTTCTGGTTTCGTTGGTGATTGGTTGATGACTAGAGGCATTTTGAATATTACCAATACACGTAAATTAATGACAGGAATTGGTAAGTACATATTAGATCGGTAGTTAGTTATACAAAATTGTTTAACATTTTTTATATGTTTTCACTTTAATATTACAGCTGCCTTTGGTCCCGCTATTTTCATGGTAGCCGCTTCTTATGCTGGTTGTGATCGTGTTGCCGTTGTTGTGTTGTTTACTATTTGCATGGGTCTGATGGGTGCTTTCTACGCTGGCATGAAATTAAGTCCTCTTGATATGAGTCCCAATTATGCTGGTACCTTGATGGCCATTACAAATGGTATTGGTGCCATAACAGGAGTAATTACTCCATATTTAGTGGGTGTAATGACACCGAATGTAAGTAAAAGACCTTTATGATATTTTTCAAATTTGTAGTTAAAATTACTTATTAAATAATTTTGATTATTAGGCCACTTTATTGGAATGGCGTTTGGTATTCTGGGTGGCCTTTGCCGTCCTTGTTGTTACTGCCATTATCTACAGCATATGGGCTTCTGGTGAGGTTCAACCCTACAATGATCCCCAACCCAAGCATAAGGACTTTGAAGCCGAAGAACGTGCCGAAAAACAAAGAAAAGAGAAAATCTAAGACTGTGTTACAGTAGGCTGCAAACATTTAGTTAAAAGTTAAGTTTTCTTTTTTGTTAGAAAAAAACACTAAACTTTACGATTTTTGTAAATATCAGGAAAAAAATAGTAAGAATGAACAACTCTATTACATATTTTAAAAACGGTACCAAATTTGTATTTAAGCGAACGAGACAAAAAATTACAGCAAAAATTTAATTTAACAGTATTTATTTTTCCTTGTAATTCTGATATCGTTATAATGAAAATTGCAACTAAAACTTTAAAGTTACTTATGGACTCTAATAATAAGTAAAACAAAAGTGCCTTTAAGAAAATACGAAATTTTGTATGTAATTTTTTTAGAAATTTTGTCTAAATAGTATTTAAATGTATTAATTAATTCATAAGATTAGTTATAAGAATATTAGAGTAATAATATTGAAACTCATTGCAAAAAATGGGTAAAAAACAACATCAAAACATCTGGTTTGAATGATTAAAATAATGACAATGAACCCAATTCCGCAAAAACTTCCACAATTTACATTTTTAAATATATGTATCTTAAATATATTTAAACCTACATACATATGTTTAACAATTTATTAAAAACGCTATCCATCAATGCAGCGGAAACGTTTAAACTCGTATTTACACAGATCGAATTCAGAACTAATGTTCAAACCAGTTGTATTGAATTTTAAAAATAATGCTGATTTAAATACAGTAAATGTATGTGATATTCTTTTTTAGCATAATTTACTAAAAAAAATATTTTGAATTACTAAATATTATATATGTATGTATATAAAACAATTTATTTTTAAATTGTTCTAAATGCAATTAACATATCAATAATGTATTTGCAGCATTTAATAATTAAAAAAACACTGTTCTAAATCATTTACACACTCTATTGTTAAAAACTCTTTGCCTTTCCATATCACTTTTTCAAATGCGAATTTATTGTTATAATTAATTAATTTAATAGTCATACCTAATAACTAAGAGCAGGGTTTTTATAACTGTATAATTCAATTTAGAATAAAAATTTAGGTTCCTCCCTTTTGTTAAATAAATAAATGTTGTTAAATATATTTAAATACTGTTTTTCAATTTATAAACTTTCGGGAAATACTGGAACCATTTATACAGAGTATATTACATCCTCTATTCACAAAGGCCTTAAAAATATTAAGAAGAAGTCTCATTTTTTCACTGCTGACAAAAAAGTTCCCGCAACATAACTTATTTGTTTCTAAGACACTGTTACACGTTTTTTAATATAAATCTCGAAAGGGTCACATCTTTTGTATTTAACCTATAGTACTGGTTACAAAACTTTTATATATTATTGAAGCAATTTATACATTTTTAAACACCCTATACCCACATATTTTCTTATCCTTATTTTTTCATTATTTAGTTATACATTTTTCTGTTCCAAAATTTAAAGTTTTATTTTCAATTAACATAAAATTTTTGTTTGTTCAAATTTGTTTAAGACAAAAGTACAAATGGATTCATCTTTAACATTAGATATCTTTAAAAAATGTATGTACATACATATATGTATGCTGTAAAATTAACCTCAATATTTCAAAATTTTTATATACATAATTGCAAATTAAATTTAAAACAGACCTATTTCTGCCACAAAGAGTTCTCGTCAGTTTCTTTGGATTTTTGGCAATTGTTAATGCTTTTATAATGAGCCATGTTACAGAGATATTTTTGGACCCAATAAGAATTCCCCACAATAATCATTCAACTGAAAAAGCTGAAATATTAATGATTTTGAAAAGACGGTTGAATTTTACATCTCATAGAAAAGGAGGATTATGGAAACAAAAATTGTGGATAAGCAAACATGCTCGGGAAGACCCATATATTTTCGCTTTTTATATCGGTTTCTTAATAACTCATATACCAGGAGCTTTAATAGCAGAAAGTTATGGCGGCAAACGGGTGTTAATTATAACCTTGACCATTATGTCATTTATTACTCTTGCAACGCCTAGTTTGGTAAATCAATATGGTGTTAAAGGTTTACTGATCCTACGCATAATGCTAGGATTAAGTGAGGGACCTTTATTCCCTGCTGTGTGTTGTATGATATCTAGATGGATACCATCTCAAGAGAGGGGATCATTGGCTACTGTTGTCTTAAGTGGAGGTCAAATTGGTATATTAATTGTCCATCTTTTGTCTGTTGTCCTATATACACATATTAGATGGACTTTTGTCTTTTACATACTTGGCGCTAATGTCTTACTATTGTGTATTTGTTTTGTAAGTTCATATCTAAAATCTATATAATGACCTCTCTACCACATTTATTTATAGATTTATTTTGTTTTGATAATCACGATTTAAATCCCTATATTAAGTCATCCGAAAAAGTCTATCTTCAAGAATCAATTTCGTACTTAAACTTTGAGGGTTTACTTACTTGCTCACAGTCCTTGGCGACAGATATTATCAAGTCCACATATGTGGGCTTTAATATCTGCCACCATGGAACATGCTTGGAATCTGTCAACAAATGTTAACAATATTAAACGCAGCTAATCCTGTTTACTACAGCGATGATTTTTGGCAGTGTGTGAATATTTTGTTACCCTTCTTTTTAAATTGGATTGTGGCAATGTTAGCAGGAATATTTAGTGATGTGTTGATTCAATGGAAAATTTTAAACGCTACCGAGTCAAGAAAACTAATGACTGCAATAGGTAAGGAAATCATTTTCTCTAAAACTATAGGACTACAAAAATTCCTAAACTTACAGTTGTTTTTTCTAGAAAACTATAGGACCTAAAGCAAAAACATACTGCTATCACAAAATTATTTACCAAAATTGCATTTTTTTCAAAAATAATAGGTCCACAGACAAAACAAAAAAATTGATTGGTCACTAAAATTTAAAAATTCTTTATTTTAAAAATTGTAGCTCGGATTTGGCCCAGAAATCTGTTCGAAATTTGCTAAATGTTTGCTGTGTAATGAAAGCACTAATTTCGCATCAATTTATAACTGTTCTATGGGCGTAATGGGTACATATTATGCTGGTATAAAACTAACTGCTCTGGACTTGAGTCCGAAATATGCAGGAACTATAATGGCAATAGCAAATACTTTCGGATCGATAGGTAATATTTTAGCACCATATTTTGAGAGTTTTACAAATGGATCGGTAAGCTAGATTCTTGGTTTATTTTTGAAATAAAACTCATTTATTGCATTTATTGGTTATCTAAAAAGGAAACTTTTCGAAATATACGAAACATTATGTGGTTTATTATAACCATTTTTACTTCCGGGGAAGACCAAAACTTTGATAAAAGTGATTTTGAAACAGAAGATAAAATAGCATGAAAATAAATATTCAAACTTCAAAAATGTGAGTTTTTAAATTTTATTATACAAATGTTAGATCAATATAAAATAACTGCAAAATTATACATACATACTTTGACTGCAAATTGTAAAGAAACTTCTAATCGAATTTTTTAAGTATTATGACAGATGTTCCAGTTTATATACAACAACCGCAACCGGAATGGGGAGTTAAGCTATCAAAATGTAAGTGTGGAATTCATTTTTAAATTAACAACTTTTTTTATAAATATGCTCTCGGAATAGTTATATTTATACCTCAACGAGTAATATTGGCTCTCATGGGATTCTTTGGCGTAGTAAATGCCTACACAATGCGAATTTGTTTATCCATGGTTATTCCAGCTTTGGTTTTACCACGCAATTATAGCGATGAAAAGGTTTCTGAAGCTCACTGTCCTGCGTCGGAAGATCTTTTTGAAGACGATGAGAATGTAAGATATTATGGGAATTTTATACCTATTAATAATGAAACTATCTACACATGCACATATTTTTAAATTAAATTTCTTTTGCAGTCTCTTTCCGGTACTTATGATTGGTCTCAGGCAATGCAAGGGATTTATTTTAAGTTCTTTTTATATTGGCTACTTGATCACACATGTACCCGGGGGTGAGCTAGCAAAAGTTTTCGGTGCAAAATGGGTTTTGAGTTTGGGTCTTCTATTTACTGCCATTTGCACTTTATTAACTCCTTTGGCCATTGACTTTACGGGTCATATTGGTTTAATTGTTATACGTATTCTAATGGGCTTGGGAGAGGGAACTACATTTCCGGCTTTAAGTGCTTTAATAGCTCATTGGGTGCCGAAGAATGAGAGAGGAGTAATTGGGGCAGTAATTTTAGGTGGTGGTCAAATGGGTACAATTATCGGAAATCTAATGTCAGGATTTCTATTGTCCAGGAGTGGTTGGCCAGCGGTATTTTATACCTTTGGCTGTCTAACGTTTTTGTGGTTTATATTCTTTGTAAGTTTAATGTTAAAAATTGTTTCTTATTTAATAATTTGGTAAACTTTTTGTAGTCTTTATTTTGCTTTAGCGACCCAGCCTCACATCCATTTATAAAATCCAAAGAAAAGGAATATTTAATACAAGAATTGGGATCTATTACACGCAGAAGAGATCTAGGTGCAACGCCCTGGAAACAAATTTTTCTCAGCATGCCAATGTATGCCCTGCTAGTTGCTCAAGTCGGTCACGATTGGGCATTTTATATACTCGTTACCGATCTACCAAAATACCTAAATGATGTCATGCAAATACCTATCAAAAAGAATGCTCTTTACTCCTCATTACCTTTCGCTCTAATGTGGATTGTTTCGATATTTGCGGGAATTTTAGCAGACTTTTTAATAAAACATGAAGTTTTATCTTTAACGATAGTAAGAAAAATTATGACTTCCGTCGCAGCTTTTGGTCCTGCACTATTCGCAATTCTAGCTTCATATGCCGGTTGTAATGAGTGGGAAGTTATTATATACTTTTGCTTGTGTTTAGGTACAATGGGTTTCTATTATGCTGGTGTTAGGCTTACGCCAAATGACTTGAGTCCAAATTACGCTGGAACTCTGATGGCTATAACAAATGGTTTTGGATCATTTGCAGGAATTTTAGCGCCATATTCTGTAGGTTTAATGACACCAAATGTAAGTTTTTAATTGAATATATAAGTTTGCGAAAATTAGATTTTGAGTTATGATTATTTACAGACAACCATACAGGAATGGCGCCTGGTATTTTGGGTTGGTGGCTTTATACTTTCAGCTAGTGCAGTATTTTATTGTGTATGGGCAACTGGCGATACTCAATCATGGAATGAACCTAGTCCAAAAAAGGGAGTGGAAAAGGAATAACTTACAAAATTTATGTTCATAATTTAAAATTTTGTGTATCTTTTGTACGATGACAACATGCTAAAAGATTAAATACTTATATCTAAACTTAAAAAAAATGATTCCGCAAATATAAAATGAATTAATATATTATCATATATCGATATTAATATTAACATCAAGGTGATTTTCGAAATAGGATTTTTAATGAGAGGTTGGATCAATTATGGACCAAGTTTTTCTGAATTTAAAATAGTGATTAATTTTTAAACACAGAGATGGAAAAGTCTATTGACAAACATATGTATTTTCTGTAAGAGACCTATTTGGTGAGCAGGATCAATAATAGACTGATTCTCAGCATGATACAACCATAAAATATGTTCAAGAAATTTTGGGCCCTATAAAATGTTTGTGCCGAATTTCATCGCAATTCATGAGCAATTTCCTACCCTTATGAGGCTAGGTTAGTTAAATTATGGACAGATATTGCACATTTTAATACAAATTCTTTTTGAATTCATTAAATTAAAATTAATTTGTGGTCACTTATGCTCCGTATTTAAGTTATAAGTTTATTTCCTGTTATATTTTTGAAAAAAAAAAAAAAAAAAAAACAATTTAATGCAATTATTGGTTACCCTAAAACTTTTCAATATATACGAATATATTCTTTGCATATTTCCTTTAGGGGATGGCAAAAATGTTGATAAAAGTGATATTGAAACGGAAAATAAAATATTCAAACTTCAAAATTAAGGCAGTTTTTAACATACATTTTTGTAAAAATTTTAGATTAATATATTCAAAATTCTTATGGCAGATTCGTCAGTTTATATAGAAAAACCGCAACCGGAATGGGGTGTTAAGCTATCAAAATGTAAGTTAGGATCTAATTTTTTAATGGACCTCCTTTTTATAATAAAGCACACGAAATAGTTATATTTATACCTCAACGAGTAATACTGGCTCTTATGGGATTCTTTGCCGTAGTAAATGCCTACACAATGCGAATTTGTTTATCCATGGTTATTCCAGCTTTGGTTTTACCCCGAAATTATAGCGATGAAAAGGTTTCTGAAGCTCATTGTCCTGTGTCGGAGGATCTTTTTGAAGATGACGAAAATGTAAGAGATTATACAAATTTTATATAAAAAATGAACCTCAGTATTTTCAAATGAAATTACTTTTGCAGCCTCTTTCCGGAACTTATGACTGGTCTCAGCCAATGCAGGGATTTATTTTAAGTTCCTTTTATATTGGCTATCTGATCACCCATGTGCCCGGAGGTGAGCTGGCAAAAAAATTCGGTGCCAAGTGGGTTTTAAGTTTGGGTATTCTATTCACTGCCATTTGCACTCTATTAACACCTTTAGCTATTGAATATACAGGTCATGTTGGTTTAATTGTTATGCGTATTCTAATGGGATTGGGAGAGGGAACAACATTTCCGACCTTAAGTGCTTTAATAGCTCATTGGGTGCCAAAAAATGAAAGAGGAGCTATTGGCTCTTTAATTTTAGGTGCTGGACCTATGGGTACAATTATCGGAAATCTATTGCCAGGATTTCTTTTGGCCAGAAGTGGTTGGCCTGTGGTATTTTATATCTTTGGCATTTTAGCTGTGTTGTGGTTTATATTCTTTGTAAGAAAAATATCAAGTTAAAAATTGTTCATTAATTAATAAATTGTCAAACTTTATCTAGACCTTATTTTGCTTTAGTGATCCGGCGTCACATCCCTTTATAAAGCCCAGTGAAAAGGAATATTTAATACAAGAATTAGGATCTATTACACGCAGAAGAGATCTAGGTGCAACGCCCTGGAAAGAAATTTTCCTCAGCATGCCAATGTATGCCCTGCTAGTTGCTCAAGTCGGTCACGATTGGGCATTTTATATACTCGTTACAGATTTGCCAAAATACCTAAATGATGTCATGCAAATACCCATCAAGAAGAATGCCATTTACTCTTCATTGCCTTTCGCTATAATGTGGATTGTTTCGATAATTGCAGGAATTTTAGCAGACTTTTTAATAAAATATGAAGTTTTATCTTTAACGGCCGTAAGAAAACTTATGACCCTCATCGCAGCCTTTGGTCCTACACTATTCGCAATTCTAGCTTCATATGCCGGTTGTAATGAGATGGAAGTTATAACATATTTTTGCTTGTGTTTAGGTATAATGGGTTTCTATTTTGGAGGTGGCAGGTTAACTCCAAATGACCTGAGCCCAAACTATGCTGGGACGCTAATGGCTATAACGAATGGTTTCGGATCATTTGCAGGAATTTTAGCGCCATATTCTGTAGGTTTAATGACACCAAATGTAAGTGTATAATCGAATAGATATAATTGCGAAGAATAAGTTTTATGAAGTGAATTTTTTCAGACAACTATACAGGAGTGGCGACTTGTTTTTTGGGTTGCCGGTTTTATACTTTCAGCATCTGCTGTATTTTATTGTGTATGGGTAACTGGTGACACTCAGTCATGGAATGAACCTAGTCCAAAAAAGGATGTGGAAAAAGAATAATTTTGAAATTACGTTTAGAATTTTGTAGTTATGAATAAATATAGTATTATGGTTATTAAAAATCATTGAGATAATGTAGGTATCGTGGTAAATCTAAAATACATAATTACACATTTTTGAATATATTAAGAAAGATCCTAAAATATTTTGGGTTTTCTGATTACTTTACAAAAAATCCTAAAATGATTCTAAGTACTACATATTTTGCTTCCAAAAAGATAAAAACAAACTCTAAAAAATAGAAATATAAACAAATAAATGAATACTATTTTAGTAATATAATAATAATTATCTTTTTATTACTAATTTGAATTATTTGGTTATTTTGGTCTAATTTGTTTAACAATATTTTTTTATTTCATTTTTAGATATTTTGTTGCATATTTTACAGAACGTAAATAGTTAAAAACGAAATATCAAATAAAAATATTAAAAATTGGCGGGTTATATGTTTGTTTAAAGAAAAGGGGGAGTCGTATTAATGGAAATAAAAACGTAAGTTTCCAAATTTAGTTGTAGAATCCAAAAATTTAAGGAAAAGAAAAATCATTAAAAAATACAATAAAATGCAATGCATAATGAATCACTGTAAATTTATTTGATGTTAAAAAACTATTTTTACATTTCTCTCAAAAATAAAATAGTAAAAATAGTCTGAAACTTTTGATCATATGTAGCACAAGTGCTGCCGTTTAATTTTTGTTACAAAAGTTCAATACTTTTTAATTACTGTTACATATTGATAAATTTAAATGTATTTATTTTTTAGGAGAAATTTCTCTTGAATTTCAAGTTCCTTGTTCGCGTTAAATGTATAAGTTAAAATGGCTGTGGTGTATGTTGGTTGTATTCAATTTATATTATAATAAACTAAAAGCATGGTTTGATAAAAATGTTTTATCAATTATTAAAAAAAAAGATAAAAGAAAGTATAAGAAATAACAAATATTTAGTTACATAATAATAGTTGTAGTATAATAGTATAAAGTTAACTTAGATTTTTCAATTGGCTGCTTGTGGTGGCATAATACCCGCTTGCGCCAAAGCCGATATCGTTGACATATCAATACCCAATTTACGTGTAACATTAATTTGTGCCACGGCAGCATTACGCAAGGCATATAAATGACACATTTCAGCTTGACTCTTTGCCAATTTAATGGCCTTTTCAAACAGTTCCACCGCTCTATCCAAGTTTGCACGTTGCACTTCGATTGTCCCCAATGTTTCATAGGCCAACTCACATTTATCGTCGACTTCAATTGATTTCTGCATTAGGCCCACAGCCTTCTCAATATCACCCACCCACTGTAGAGTCATAATGCCGCGATGTACCAAAAGTGACGCATTTTCAGGTGCCATTTTAATGGCTTTTTCATAAAATTGATCAGCCTGTTGGAATTGCTGTTGATCACTCAAAACTTGAGCCATTAAACTATAGCATTCCACACAGTCTGGGAATTTTTCAACAGCATTTTTAAATTCGTTCATCACCATCATAAGACGCATTTGATCCTGCGACAATAATGCCAAACGATATTCTGCATAACATTTCTGTACAAAGGCCATGGCATTATGAGGAGCTAATTTTACAGCTTTCTCGAATTCCTGCAAAGCTTCGGGCAGCTGATCGAGTAAGATGTAGATTTGAGCTCTTTGATGATAAAGATCAGGATTTTCGGGTTCAAGTTTTTGGGCTTGAGCAAAGTCATCGAGACCTAAGTCTTTTTGTTCCAATTGTATGAAGTACGAAGCACGTCTTATTAAGGCATAACATTTATGTTTGGTGTCAGCATTATCTGGAACAGTGGTAATATAAAAATAATTGTTTTTATTTATAAACTATTTTTAAATTAATGTAATCCGTTTTAGAATAACGTTATAAATTCCCCAGAGATCCATATAATGTCAATAGAACTTTTTTACTTTTCTCTAGAGCTTTTTTTAAGCTCTCTGGCCGATTTATAATGTAAATTTTCTTTAAATTTTGATAAAAAACTAATTTAATTTTTATAATAATAATTTACACTTAACAATGTGCATGGTAATGAGGTTCTAGATGAACTAGCTGGATTAGATTCGAACCTTTATATAGATGACAGGGAAAGGATGGTAAGTAAAACCACCGATTTGTCACTGTTATAGGTTGATATTCGAAAAAATCCTTGACATTATAAATTAATCCTGGAATAGTAAATTAGATTGCAAAATATCAAAAGACCTATAGCCAACACTTGATATGATCTTCGAGAGGATGTTCACCTTCTTATGGTGCATAATCCTTCTTAACCTAAACCTTCCGCAGCTTTTGTACTACAACTTCTGTTTGCATAGGTTTTTAATGTAGTACGTTTAAAAGTTCTATGGTATCATGGAATACTACAAAAGCAAAAATTAATCAATTCTTCTTCCGTATGCAAATTTTAATACTAAATTTAGGGTTTTTGTAACGTTTCTTTCGATCTCTATGAGATTTAATTTAGATAATAAAAATTAATTTTTTCCCTTACCGTTATTTATAACAGCATCCAAATCCTGTTTGGCTTCATTGAATGAACCAGATAACAAATGGAAAGTGCCTCTCAATAAAAGAGCTTCCGTCTTATATTGTGATTCCGATTCAGAAGATTCAATCTCTTCTGTGCATGCTGCTATAATTTCATCATACTTTTGCTCATCCAATGCCTGCTTGGCACGAGCAAAACCATGTAATTTTTCTTGTGTTGTCACTGACTCTGGCAGGCGCATGTTTTGCAAAGGATCCGCCACAAAGGAACGCAAATAAGTAGTGATAAAACTTCTTGAGGGCAAAAGTGGCAATTTGTCTTTCATGCCCTTTTCAGCATCCTCGCGACCAGTCTGTTTCAAAATACGATCTGCATACATGATGGTATTGTTATTTTGGAACATTTCTAAAATGCAAGTCGCTGTTACATCATCCAAACATTCGGACATTTCATTGGTTGCTTCAAAAGCCTTGGCGCGTCTGAAATATGCTTTTGCATAGCGGGGATTACATTCCAAAGATTTAGTGCAATCTTCCTTCACTTTGGGCCATTTACGTAACATTTCATATGAAGCTGCTCTATTCTGATAGAAAATGGCCAAGTCTGTTTTGTTTTCTTTGGGGCACTTGTCAATGGCCTTGTCGTAGAAATTAATAGCTTCATCAAATTTGCCATTGCGATAACAAATATTACCCTCATTCTTAAACATTGTAGCTTCTTTAAGAGGAGACAATTTTTCGTTTTCCAATTCAACAGTCTTTTTCTTTTTTTCCAATTCCTTATCTTCGCTGGTGTCGTCAATCGATAGTGACTGTTTGTTGGCGTCCAATTGTTTGGATTTTGAAGATTTTTTCCTTTTATCACCGCCCTCTGCTTCTGTTGTGGTGTTCATCTTTTTGTACACATAAACACCCATGCCAATGGCCAAAGGTGTTCCCACTAACAAGGCCAATTGCCATTTTGTCAATTTTACTGAACCAAATTTATATGTTGCTGACATCTTTGCTCTTTAACGTTTCTGTTTCAGTTCTAAACTTAGAAAACAATTTATAATTAATTTTCACACAATCTTCTTAAAATTATCAATTCTTCATAACAAAAAAAATCGATTTTTTATCACTTTTTGGTTCGCGTGAAAAAATCTTTCTGCAGCCGTCTGTCTGTCTTTACTTACTAACCTTTTTATGGCTGCCTTTTGTCCAGTCTTGTATGCGAAATATTGCTTAAATTTTTATCTCAAACAAAAATGTATAAATAATTCGTTGTGTAGTTTTTAACTATCTTCAATTTCTAATTCACCAAAATATTAAATTTATGTAATTTAATGTAGAAAATTAAAAATTGTTCTAAGAATTTTTTCCTCCGCAACACGAAGAGAGGAACACACACACAAAAAATATTAAGGGAATATAAAAAATGGCATGTGAATATTTTGACATTTTGAGAGTACAGTGTTGCCGTATGAAGAAAATAAAAAACGCTAAAAAATAAGTTAGATTTAAGAAAAGTAATTTATTAACAAATTATAATAGAAATAAATAACATTTAGTAATTATTATACAAAATGGCTGAAATCAAGACCATATTATCCTAAAAATTCTTTAAATTATGTGTTGGATACGTAAATAATGCCCTCCTTGCATTTATTTTTTGATTTGTTTTAAATAGATTTGGGTAAACTATGTCATATAACAACATATAAAAATTGTTTTTATGAGACTCTAATATATTACCAATAAATTCCACAAAATCGCTTGAATTGTGTAACACACCCTTATCTGGCAACTTATTTTCTACAAACACTTCCGAAACCGTTTTTTCCACTAAACTGACATCTCAAATATAGGTTGTCAAACGTCGGCAATACAGTTGACCAGAAATTCAGTGAATTTTCTCAGCGACAGTAATTTTTTCTGTGAGAATTTAAGTAAATTAATCGCAAGAAATCCATTAATTAAATTAAGGGAATATTAAGTACAAGTGATTAAACAGAAAATTAACAAAATAATGGCTCCAAAAGCAGGAAACGTTGCTCTTAAACCCAAAGGCCAAGCCTTCAAAGATAAATCTAAACCAGCCGATGTTCGTCTATCGAATATTCAAGCAGCCAAAGGTTAGAAATAAAAGTGTTTATTGCAAAATATTTTAAACAAAAAGATAAAATTTAACTAAAGATACAACACATTTGTTTGATAAATATAAAGATTAAAGTGACATTTTATGGAAATTGTGTTAGTTTTCCAAGAAAAATGGAGTTTTCCTGAGCAGTTGTTGAAGTGCAATATGAAAAAAACAAAGGCGGCTTCTCTTAGAGGTTTAGCCGGCTGTTGGTTAAAAATGAGTGAAACAGAAGAAGAAAAATGAGTGTCACTCTCGAAAATTCTACATGTGCCTAAAGAAAAAATGACTCATGTGATTAAAAATTAATAAAATGAATGAAAAAATTCGAAAATTTTAAAGAAATTGTTAAAAACAAACAAAATTATTCTAACAACATTAGTGTATAAAAAAGTAGTTTTCCTCAAACAAAAGTATATTCAAACATTATGACGTCATAATTTAGTTAAAGCAGCGACTTCTTTGGTTTTGTAAAAACATCTGTTCAAAAAAATTTTTCTGTTTCCACAATTCCAGCTGTTTCCGATGCCATTCGCACCAGTTTGGGACCCCGCGGCATGGACAAAATGATCCAAG